ACCTGAGAGAGATTGCCGAAGCTAATTATTTGAATGATAAAATGATGTTATAATAGTGGGAAGCAGAGAGTACAGCACTGCGAAACATGGCTCCTGCAATTTTCTGCATTGGACTCATACTTTTCTCTCTCCTCCTCCTTCCATGTGGAGCCCATGAAACTATACAACCCTTTGAATAAATATACCAGTTGGGAAATTCATTGGCGGATACGGGGAACCTTATTCGCCAAAGCGTCACCGGCAAAACACTAGCTGCCGCCCATCAGCCTTACGGCGAAAGCTTTCTCGACAGGACCACAGGTCGCTTGTCTAATGGCCTTACTTCGTCTATAAGCTGGGTTACACATAATTATATTACTCCTATTTTTCCCTTCATACACTTCGTCGGTAAGCTGACTTACTGCGAAACTGACATTAGTCTTAACTAAGTTTTGGTATTAGCTCGATAAACTTTTTTTTAAAAAAAATATTCACGAATATTCAGGTTAATTTATGCATATTTTAACTAACTTTTTTTTGGTTTGGTCATAAGCAAATCTTTCACACCAAAATTAGAGTATTTATAAAGAATAAATCTTTTATGTGCAATAATACATAAACAATAATATAGAAAGAAAACAATAAAGTATTTCTCATAGATCATAAATCTTTCTCTCCGAAAGTTAAAAGATTCAACAAATGACCAAATTTAAGAAATTTGTAATGGTTATTGGATTATCTTCCGATAACCCTCATATAACCTTCAACAACTCCTATTACATGCGGATTTTATACAATGACTAGTTGATACACACGTGCGTTGCACGTGAACTATTTTGAGTGTAACTTGTAACAGTTCATATTAGAGATCATTCTTGATATCGTTACAAATTAAAATAGCTAGAATTTTTTACAATTGACATTTAAATTGAATGCAGGTTCTTTGCATATCTCTTATTATTTCTTTGCCCTTAAATTTTAAATTAAGGATGACTAGACTAGAAGAAGCTAAGGTACTGTTTGATAACGTTTTCGATTTTCAATTTTTAAAAAAAATAAAAACTGAAATGGTTTTCGATTTTCAGTTTATAAAAAATGAAAACCAAAAACCTGTTTGGTTATATTTCTGTTATGAAAAAAAAATGAAAATAGAAATAGAAAATTTGTTTGATAAACACATATAAATTATTTTATGAACAACTTATTTACACCATACACTTTCATGCTAGTTTAACTGTAAAAATAATAGAATATAAGGATAACATATTAAGGTATAACATAGTTCATAAACATTCATACTACATATATATCCCATAATTTACAAACATCCAAGATAACAATCAATATACACCAAAAACTATGTCTCACTGTCAAACACTTGCCCACAACTCATTGGCAATGCAATCTCGCACACGAGTCATTTGACGAATCTGAGTTTGACTGAAATCTACTTCAATCGGATTCTGTGAAGTAGATCTTGCATTATCATCCACCCTTTCTTCATTACTGAACTCATCAAATAATTGATCTTAAGCAATGTGCATTCTAATGAAATTGTGAACTGTACAACAAGCTGTTGGAATGTATTTTTGTGTCCTTATAGGGTAAGGGGACATTTGTTTGAGAATGGAAAACCGAGTCTTTAGCACTCCAAAGCAACGCTTAATGACATTCCGAAGTGATGAGTGACAATAATTGAATAGCTCTATCTTACTCCTTGGACATCGGTCACTACCTTTATAGTCACGTAAATGATATCTCTCACTACGATATGGTGACAAAAACCGAGACATGTTCGTATATCCAGCATCAACAACAAAATACTTATCTGGCAAATGGTACACATGCACAGTAAGTGATAAATTATAAATTCTACGAATGGAAAGAAATGTTACATACATTACCTTGAAGAATGGATAGTAATTAGGATTGTATCGAATCTAAGGTGGAACGATATGAAAATCAGGAGATCTGATAATGTGCACTCCAAGTCGACAAACTGCTTTCAAGACTCGATGAAAGTTTGTGGAAATAGTGTGACGTGAATGTTGGAATCTCTCTGCTACCAAATGGACTCTCTCATTGTGATTTATAATCAGTAAAAAATAGCTACTTGTTCTTGAACTGTCACATACCTAGAATTTGTCAAATTTGCCACATACATAGAATTTGTCAAATTTGCCTTACTTTTTAGTTCTTCACAAAATAAAATAAACACATGGGGGTCCATCTGAAACTGATCATAGCACTTGTCCTCATGTCCATGCAATATTTCTAGAACATAATCATGACCTTTAAGTACAGAGGTTCTACATGGTTTTTTATCAAAAATTCTGTCAAGTTCCTCTACGAGTAATAACATTACACACATAATTATCTCATACTTCTCCTCATCCTCCTCAATCAATTGAATGACATCATTCGAGATTATCATATCCATAAAGTACCTAATACATTAACAACAAATAATGATTAAACCAAACCAACGATATACTATTCCAAAAAACATTGATGTCATCAAAAAACAAAAAAAAAAACACATTGACCAACAACCAAAGGTTAAAAGTAGACTGTTAAAGGTACAAAACATGATTTAAAGTCATCACAAAAAATACAACCATGACCTAATACATCACAAATTCATGACTACACCCCTCTTCCGATGATCAAGCAACCCCAAGAACACTTTCCGCCACACCGCATAATCACACATTAATTTTAAGGCTTTTGTATAAGTCACATCATCAATGTCCTCAAGAGAGTTCAAAGTGTTGATGCAGTCTTTCAACAAGTCTGGATATAGGTCAATCGTAGTCATTGAATCAATTAAAGTCTGCACTAGTCGATGACGAAACCAACACTTGCAATTATTTTCTCGTAAAACTCTGACCTTCCCTTTGCAGATTCAGCTAACATGTTTAGTGCGTTGGTAAGGGCACAAGTACAAGAATCTTTCTTTGTACGCCAACTACGATAATGTAAACCTCCACATTCTATTCTTTATATAGCAACGTAATTATGTTTTGAAATGCTAATATGTGTAATGATGTATACATGAACTAAATGGATTGTAAGAGTAGAGATAAAATGTTAGTTGAGGTAATAGGGTGTGTTGTAGAAGTTTGAAAGTATCCCGGAGTGAAAACACATTTTAGACAAAATTTGGGTAGAAAGGATTTTGGGCACTGCCTAGTATTTTGATTATAACTTTTTATTCTGATGTCCATTTGATCTAAATTTTTGCAAGTAGATAGTAGACTTCTATGGCTACAAAAGTGTAATGTATGAAATTTTCCAAATCGACCTCTAAATAGGTCAAAACTTCACTGAAAGTTTCAGGAGAAACAGGAAGTCCGTTCGAACGTGAAATGACGTTCAAACGTGAAAGTCCGTTTGAACAACAGTGTGTTCCAGTACTTTTTGTCTGATGGAAAAATAAAAGTACTAGAAGCGAAGGACGTTCGAACGCCAATGATGTTCGAACGTGAGCTACGAATTCTGACTCTTAGATTCGCGTACAGGGGACCATTTGACCTCCTATAAATACATAAGGACACCTCCTTATGCCCCATTTCAACATTTATAATCCTAGAAAGGCTTAGAGATGAATAAAGAAAGAAAAAAACAAAAGATTAAAGGGTTGATTTAAGTTTGGTAAAGATCAAATCTTCAAGTTCTTTACACAAAGTCAAGGAAGAATAAAGGTAGGGGTTTTCTTCCACTCTTGTTCATTGAGGCTAGAGCTTATATATACACATGTTTTGACTCTTAATCATATATATTTGTTATGAAATCCTTGATTCTTGATGTTCTTGCAAACCTTACCATGTTTTAAAAGAATTTATGGTTTGATAAGTCTAGAAATTCATGTTCTTGATATAAAAACCTAACTTCGGGAAAAATGAATTTTTCTTCTTGATATCCTCTTGTTCTAGATTTGAAAACTTTAGTGCTTTGCTTGGAACAATAAAAGTCTATCTGTTGATGTTCTCTTGCTTATTTTATTGAATTGTTATGTTGGAAAAATACTTATGAAATTGGGGATTTTGAATTTACTTGTGATTTGAGAAAATGGTTGGTATTGCATCTCTTGTATGGTTTGTTGTGATGGACTTGAATTACATTCAAGAACTACTATAGAGTATTAGAGGTTAGTCTATCCCAGTGGGGGTGAAATAATTTCCTAACACTTATAGTGGATTATCGTTTATAAGAGAAACCACTATTGTTCACGTAAGTTCGAGGCTGAGGGATGGTATTCTTTTTCTTGGAAGGATTCGTCAATGTCGTGGGAGACGATATACGTCCTTCCTAAATTGGTTTGTGTGGTTATGATGGATGAACGAGGTAGAATCGTCGTGTAGATTCATGAGAAGCAACCAACATACAAGAGAATATGGGATGATGCTATTGAATGATTAAATTGATTTCTTCACATGTTTATTCCTTTCATTTAACTTATTGTTATTGTGTTAACTTGAGATTGAATAAATTTTTAGTGTTTTATTTCAAGTTATGTATGATATTTTGAAAAGTGAGACTGAACTATTTTATATGTTTCTAAATCTTGTTCAAGTTTAGGAGGATGTTGCTATAGAGCTTAGTGTTCACCCTTTACAAATACTATTTATTCTCAGATGTCGATTTAGATGAAGAGCTCAGAATTGATGAACAGGTAGCTTGGGAAGCGCAATTGGATGAAAGTGCGGATCCCGAGGGAGATGTTTAGAGTTGATCTCTCCATGTCCTAGACTAGGAGATGCATTTTGATACAATAGATAGATGTTATTTTGTTTATTCCGCTGCAAGATTAAGTTTGATTTTGAGATGTAATTGTCATAGTTTGACATATTCTTTTTGGATGTAGATGTCATGGTTTGACGTATTCTTTTGGATAATGTTGTAGATATTATGTATTATGAATGAAATTTGTCTTATTTATGGACTTTATTAGTTGCTCTCATGATGTGAATAGTTTTAAATAGTAATATCGTGCAAGATGGATTTTGGGGCGTTACAGATTATGAGTGATCGATAGAGCGACTTCTATTACAATTGGTAACAGTTAAATTATCATCTACATTGTCATCGGCATTTCCACATTCCTCATTATCTTTTGGGTCATAATTGGGGTCATGTTCACAATCAAAAGGAGACTTGGTTGAAGGATAAGCATGTTCACCAGTTGTCGTTGTGTCACTATAGATTCTACACAATGCATCATAATGTAGACAACCCTTTTTCTTGAATTTTCTGGCATTCTTATTGACCTAACAATATAAGATTATTAGAAAACACATTCTAGTAATGACCATTTAATGAAAATCATATCACTTTTGAACACAATAAAAATTTATACCTTGAACAAATTTTTCCACACATCATCTGGCAGAGTCACTGTCCCTTTCTCTAGATCCCAACCAACTCCCATAGTTTCATTAACTAGTTTGTGGAAATCACCCCATACTCACCTCAACTGATTAAATATATGAATACCCAGTTCGGTTTTTCAATTCCTCAAGAATGTATTTCCACGCTTCTCTGTTAAATGTAGTGGTACCCCTATTTCCTTTTACAACCTGCTCATCCATTAAATCTATAAAAATTGTCTCACCCTTAGGAGGCCATGGGGTATCAGATTTGGTGGATTGAACCTCAACCACATCATCACTACCTACATTGCTTACATTGGTATTTGCCATCTACAACCACACATTCCAGTAACATCATATGTATGGAAAAAATTGATGAAACTTACAATGCATGAATAATTACACATGAACTAAAGAGCCGAAGCAAATTGTTATGGCCCAAGAAAGTGTAAAGTCATTTGGTCAACCTATAATCTATGAGCAAGTAATACTCAATGTGAACTGCAATCTATAAATCAAGTTTGTTAGTCAAAACTGAAAAAATACGACCAAATTCTGTACTCTAAGCAAAATGAAACTCATCAATATGCATTTGTTGAGCTAATTTGGCTAATTCATTTTAAATTTTTAATTCACAGTCGGTGAGTTCACAAGATTATCCTAGTAACATAATACAAGATACATAAATGAGTCACTGAAAGGTCCCCCACCACTCTGTATCATCTAACCACTAGTAAAGATATAGGATCTTATTCTCACAATTGAAAATATCATATTTTTCATTCACTAATGGAATGAAGTCCTCACAAAAAATAGAACGAAGTCAGTTTTTAAAGCCCAAACTAATTCTTTCTCAAACACAACAAAACATAATGTTCTTTATAAGAGATTAATGAATTCGGTTCATCCATGTCTCCACTTTTTTTTTAGCCCTATCTCCAATTGGTTGGGCTTAATATGAACATTTTGCCAGAACTAATCGTTGCATTCAAACATCATAATCATCACAGTATTCAATAATGGAATATAATATATCCTATAAACTCTGAGAATCAATTATAAAGCAACGAATTGCTTTTAATATAAATCATGTTTGTATCCCTATTTTAATTTTAAAAAAATTTCCTTATTTTTTCTTTATGGTCATCAAAATATCCAACAAGTGTCTTTGGTAGTACAATTGACACTCATCTATGTAATTACATCATAAATGGTTACTAAATATTAAATCATAAATCTTTTGTATACCCTAAGTGACATACTTATACATTGGGTATTTTAAAAGGTTAGAAGCTAATAATACAATTTTTTGAAAATATGGGGGACGATGAAAATTTTTAAAATTTGGGGGTTCACAGTGATGGCCCCAGGCGTACTCATAGTTTAGTCACTGGATTGCCACATATTTTTTTGGAATGAACAAATCATGTCTATATTTTAAGTATAATTAATATTTCTTTTCTTGAAATTTCAATTTAGATAGTTGGAGAAATCATAAAACCAAACACCGGAAACCCATGAAACAATGCAAGAAATGGGTAGAGAAATCAATAGCTGGAGAGACCCATTATTGTTCTAGTTTGGTATCGGAGAAAACCCATTTAGATCTAAAGCAAAGAAAAAGCATATAGATCGAGAAACAAAACTTCAAAAACATCTAATATAAACCCAACAATCCTCAAAACCCATATGAAATCTGTCTATTATTGCTTTTAAATCTCCTAGAACAGAAATTTTTTGATCAAACTAACAAGTTCTGAAAACCCTAGATCTAAGGACTTACCTTGGTGAGAAAGATGAAGTTGTTGTGAACAACCCTGGTGAGAGAGCTTCAGATGAAAGAGACGAACTGTTGGATGCCTAGTGACGATGAGACGAGAGAAAGAACTTCAGATGAGATAAGAGTGACGATGAGATGAGAGAGACGATGAGATGAGGGTTTAAATAATTGTGCTTGAGGGTTTTTTGGTAGAAGGCTTTATTTGTTCCTAACAAGAGTCGATGGTGTGATCTCATTAAATTGAATTCCGCCCATTTTCGATTTTTTTTTTTTTTTGAAAACGAGTTTTTGTTGTTTCCAAAATTTAAGGCAAGTTTGAAAACAATTTTAGTTTTAAAAAAAAATCTAAACTGGTTACCAAACGAGGTTAAGTTTCAGATTTTCTAAAAAATCGAAAATAAAAACAGAAAAATTGAAAACCAAACCGTTTCCAAACGGAACCTAAAAGTGTCAAACCCAAAAAATTTAGTGGTCAAAATTTTCGTAAGTGGCAAAAACAAGTTCGATATTGGTTGACCATACTAGGCTTAATTTCTACTATAGAAAAGCCTCAACCTTGTCAAGTGTTCTCTTCATGGTATACCCTTGAACAAATTAAATACCACTGTCTTAATAGAATTCTTAGTGCACTTTCTGACCATCTACCATAATACTACAACAACCGCTAAAGAGCTTTGGAACACTTTATAAGCCAAGTATGGGAATATTGATACTGGAATTAAACGGTTTATGATCTCTAATTTCAATAATTATAAAATGGTGGAGAATAAACTCGTTGGTGATTAAATTCATGAATATCAAGAATTTTTTGAGGAAAATTGAAAAGGGTGGAACTACATTTATTGAAGATTTTAAAGTTTCAAACTTAATTTACAAACATTCACCTTTTTGGGATAATTTGGCTAAGACCTTTAGGCATAAGCAAGGAGAGTTAACCTTAACCCAAACTATAAATGCGCTTAAGGTTGAAGAGAATCATAGGGTTAATACAAACTCACAAAATGAGAGACCCCCTAAAGTAAACCTAGTGAAAAATAGTAACAACAACCATACCAATTTCCGACCTAGTGGAAGAAATTTTAAGAATAAGAGATTTAATAATCGTCCTAATAATGGTCAAAAACAAAACTATCAAAACAATAATAATAATAATAAGTTCAAGGGCTTAGGGAGGGAGAGGATGTCTTTCTTTGTTTGTGGACGAAAACCAATCACTTGGCTAAGGATTGCTACTACAAGAAGACTAAGACGTATAAGCCAAAGCCCAAGCCAAATCAAAGAGGTCCAAGAACCCAAGTCAATGTTCTAGTGGATGAAGATAATTCTGCCGAACCCTCCTTTAAGTATAATTGTTCCCTAATTAATTATACCTATCAAGATAAAGATTGGTGGTTAAACTCTGGTGCTAATATACATGTTTGTTTGGTCATGATTTATTTAAATCTTATCAGAAATCAAGTGGTGGAAATGTAATGCTAGAAAATGATTTCGTCGCATAAGTACTTGGAATTGGAGACAGAGTTAAAGATGACATCTGAGAAGACATTGATCTTGAAGGGAGTGTGACATGTTCCTGAAGTTAGAAGAAATTTAGTCAGTGCGTCGTCCTTAGTCGAACAAGGTTATAAAGTTGTAATAGAGTCAAATAAAGTTATGATAACTAGGAATGATATATTTATTGGCAAAGGATATGTTTGTGATGGTTTATTTAAGTTGAATGTACTTTCTGAAGTTAATGAAATTTCTTATCATGTTTTCAATGTTGAATCTTGCAATGTATGACATGGAAGATTAGGACACATAAGTCTAAAGAAAATCAAAAGGATGATGGATTTTCATCTTGTTCCCAAATCTCATGTAAATTTTAAACATAAGTGTAAAAGTTGTGTATAAGTCAAACAAACTAGAAAACCTCATAAGAGCGTAGAAAGAAATACCCAACTTTTAGAACTTATACTCTTCTCCCCAATTATCAGATAAGTCGGAAGTAGTCAACATTGAATTTACCATATCCATTAAGGTTCTATTTTTTCTTTCAGCTACTCCATTTGATTGAGGAGAATAAGAGTCACTTCATATATTATTTCATGTTCTTCACGAAATGTATTAAGATTAGTTAGAGTATATTCACCCTCTCTATCGGACCTTAGTCTTTTCACTCTTCTCTCTAATTGATTTTAAACCTCATTTTTATATATCTTAAACTTATTAAATACTTCCTCTTTGATCTTGATAAGATAAATATAATAATATTTAGAACAATATTATTATAATAGGATCAGTTTTGCAAACAAAAAATATATTTTATAGAGGTGGGAAAGAGAAATACAAATTTGTATGAGATAAATATAATCATTTGCGATGGGGTGTGGGTGTTGAGTAGATACATATGAAGGCTATGTTTTGTTGTGCTATGTGGAGCAATACGTATATATGTGTGTTTGAGAGAGAGAAGAAACACAAAAAAAATGTGAGAGAATGTATTTCACCCGTGGGTGTTATTGGTGAGGAAAGTAGCTGTTGTCCAAAGATAGAGGGGCTTTTATAAACAATGAACCAGGATTTGTTGAAAATGGAAGGGGAAGGAGGTTCGGTACTGAGACTAAGAAAATGCAAGTATTGGAATGAAATGAGAAGTCTTTATTAGTGGAGAATTTTTTTTNTTTGTCAATTTAGTTTTAGGTGCATAATGATACAAATTTCTATATTTGAGAGTGCAAATTGAGAANAACTAGAAAACCTCATAAGAGCGTAGAAAGAAATACCCAACTTTTAGAACTTATACTCTTCTCCCCAATTATCAGATAAGTTGGAAGTAGTCAACATTGAATTTACCATATCCATTAAGATTCTATTTTTTCTTTCAGCTACTCCATTTGATTGAGGAGAATAAGAGTCACTTCATATATTATTTCATGTTCTTCACGAAATGTATTAAGATTAGTTAGAGTATATTCACCCTCTCTATCGGACCTTAGTCTTTTCACTCTTCTCTCTAATTGATTTTAAACCTCATTTTTATATATCTTAAACTTATTAAATACTTCCTCTTTGAT